CTCAGGTCATGATCTCGCGGTCTGTGAGTTCGAGCCCCGAGCCCCGCATCGGGCTCTGTGCTGACAGCTCAGAGCCTGGAGCCCGTTTTGGATTCTGTGTCTCCCTCTCTCTGACCCTCCCCCGTTCATGCTCTGTCTCTCCCTGTCTCAAAAATAAATAAATGTTAAAAAAATAAAAAATAAATAAAATATCCCATTCAGGGGTGCCTGGGGTGGTTCAGTCAGTTAAGTGTCTAACTTCATCTGAGGTTATGATCTCACGGATCGTGACCTCGAGTCCCGAGCCACGCTCTGTGCTAATAGCTCAGAGTCTGGAGTCTGCTTCGGATTCTGTGTCACCCTCTCTGTCCCTCTCCTCACTCTCTTTCTCAAAAATAAAAATACTACTACTACTAATAATAAGAAATATCCCATTTAGTGGCGCCTGGGTGTCTCAGATCATGATCTCACAGTTTTGTGAGTTTGAGCCTCACTTCAGGCTTTGTGCTGACCGCACAAAACCTGCTTTGGATTCTCTCTCTCCCTCTCTCTCTGCCCCTCCCCTGCACATTCTCTCAGTCTCTCAAAAATAAATAAATATTAGAAAATTTAATTATCCCATTCAAACGGTTCCAAATAAATACATACTATACATTATTTCATTTCTATGAGATGGAGAACACTTAAGTTATTGAGCAAATGAAATAAGTTTTCAAAATTTAAACTCAAAATTCTTAAATATAAGTTACATACTCAGTAATCTTTTGTCAGCTCATTTGCACCCATGCTAAGAAATATTGCATCGTACGTATCATCGATTTTGATGATTTTTAGTCATGCTTCATGTTTTAAATAAAAAACATGATCTAAATGGAAGTTATTTAGGTAACTGGTGATTTAGCTTTATTAATTAAGGTAATCATTGTATTCTTTACATCAATAGAAGTGCACTTTTTATACAAGTAGTATTCTGTTATAATGGAAGAACTCTCAGAAATGATTCTTGATTTCTTGACAGCTGTTGTATTATCTCTTGGAATTCCTGGAGAAAAATAGGACTTGAGAGCTGAGGCTTTGATTCCATCTTCTTTCTAGTTCATTTGACGGCCTTTTCATGTAAAAGTTTCTTTATCACCAGTAGTGGTAATGAGCTTCTGATTAATGATTTAAACTTACATACCTCAAGCAATGTGTTTTGTGTTTTACATTTAAAAATCTAAATAAGACCATGAAGGGAATACCATTATCTTCTCTCTTTTCCCAATTAGAATACTGAAGCCCAGTGAGTTTAACTGCCCAAGTATTCAAGACAAAGTCCATGCTTTTAAGTATCCTATCCTGCTTCCCAGTTAGCCAGTGTGGGGGAGCACTGAATTGCAATATCTTACTGCAACACCATAAACCAATCTGTGATAAATAGTTCGGATTTAGACTTGTTATCTATCCCATTAAAAAACAGCATAATGCCAAACACCCCGTGTTTTGTATACATTCTGTGAAGAAATATTCATTTTCTTAATACAAACCATCTCTGTTCAGCATTTGCTGTGTAACAGGTATTAAGTTTGATTATATAACACTGAAAAAATATGCAAAAACAGTCCAAACAAAGTTTACATACAACTCTGGGTCTGATGTGAAGTGATAGACAAATTACCAACTGAAATATATAGTAGATCATATGATTCAAAGAAAAGCAGAGCAGATAAAGGAAATAAAGTGTGGTAAATGGAAATGCTACTTAAAATACTGAAATCATGGGGCACCTGGGTGGCTCAGTCAGTTGAGTGTCCGACTTCGGCTCGGGTCATGACGTCGTGGTCCGTGGGTTTGAGCCCTGCATCAGGCTCTGTGCTGACAGCTGGAGCCTGGAGCCTGCTTCCGATTCTGTGTCTTCCTCTCTCTCTGACCCTCCCCCGTTCATGCTCTGTCTCTCTCTGTCTCAAAAAATAAATAAACATTAAAAAAAAATACTGAAATCAGGTGAGACTTTTCCAGTGAGGTGACGTTTGAACAGAGGCTTGAAGAAGGTAAGCGGTTAAGCTAGGTGTGTTTCTGGAGTTAGAACTTTCTAGGAAAAGGGAAGAACAAATGCAGAGGTCCTGAGAAAGACATATGCATGGCATGTTGGAGAACATCAAAATTAGCATGATTTGATTAAAATGAGCCAACGGGAGAGAAGGATACTAGTTAGTTACAGACTTTGTGAGGACTAAATCCTGTTATAGTTTGTTGATCTGAATTAGAGTTGTGTGATCTGACTTGCTTATGTAGAATTCCTATAGACACCGTGTTGTCAATGAACTCGGAATGGCAACGGTAGAGGATACCTATGAAGCAGCTAATCTGAAGAGGTGGTCATACAGAGCTTGGACCAGGGAGGTGGAGCTGACATCATTACAGAGATGTTCATTGAGATTTAGGAGAGGATCGATGGTGCATCCATCAATGGCTGCAGTGTGAGAATAAGAGGGGTCAAGGATGGCCCCCAGGATTTCAACCTTAGCAAGGTAAAAGGTATTGCCCTTGAGTGGAGTGAAGATGGAAGGATCTGGTTTGAGGGGGATCAGGAGGAATTTGGTTTTGGACATCCAATGGCGTCTCTTTTGGACATCCCAGTGGAAATGAGGAGCAGAGTATGAGAGAAGTTAGGAGTATGGAATTCAGATGAGAGGTCAGCTTGGAACTATAACTTCTGCAATTTTTAGATTATAAACAGGGTTTCCAGTCCTAGGACTAGTTGATAATATAAAGAGAGCGGGTACACATAGAGAAGAGTGGTTCTGGGCACTGACCTTTTGTCCCCCACGGTTGAGAGACTGGAGACAGGAGGACACATCAGCTGAGGACACTGAGAAGTTAGGCAGAAGGGAATTCCTAGACAGTGTTGAACCTGGACACACAAGGAAGATTTTTACTTGCAATGAGGAGAGAATAATCAGTCGTGCCCAGCGTTGCTGCTAGTTCAGGTAAGACTCGTGGGAGAGTTGGCCATTGGCTTTAGGAATGTGCTTGTGGGCAGTGCTGTTTCAGGAGTGTGGTAGAGGTAGGAGACTGGTTAGAATAGGTTCGGGTGTGAATGAGGACAGACAAAGACCGAAGAGAGCATGGAGGGCTTGTGGGAAAGTGACAGGCAAGTGTGGAGGTCGCTGTAAATGACTCCCGAGGGATTTCCGTGGGCATAAAGACACGGAATGGGTGATGTAGGCTAACGGGTATGACACGATAGAACTGGCGAGGCTAAGAGAGACAGCTGCTGGGCTGATACCTTCGAATAGATGAAAGCCAAGTAATTATACCATCACCTGGAATAACTTCACATGAAAATCATAAAAGACCGGAGAGTCCCCTATCACTTCTCGACAGTGTTTGCATCCTCGAAATTCAACACAGCAAATGTTTTGATTCATGTTACTCTCAATTTGAGTAACTTTTTGTTTTTCTTAATAAAAGATTAACATGGATTGTTGTTTTGTTTTGTTTTGTTTTGTTTTGTTTTGTTTTGTTTTGCTTGAACAATGAAAGCAAAGTTCTTTCTTTAACTTTGGACAGCCTACTTGTAATGCATGAAAAGTTTTTATCACTGTATGATTCAGTTGTACAAAGGGACATGTTTTTTTTTTTTTCTTGATTAGTAATGTCATAGTTTGCATTAATCACATTGACCCATGTAATAGAAATTTAAACTTAGCTTTTATGCTTGACAAGATGCTAACACTACTGACTTATAAATTAGCTGGTAGTAACTTTTAAAAAGTAGCAAAGCTTGGAATAAATTAAAGCAGAAACAAATCAGAAGAGAATTCCATTTCAGTATATGCTAATTCTTTAGCATATAAAGTATGTAAAAGTATAGACTATTTCACAGAATGCGGTGCTCTCAAACTGAAACTTTCCCTTTATTTCATATTGAGATAGCTCAATAGACAGATAAGTAATACGTAGGTAGGTAGATAGATAACAGGTAGATATATAGATGATAGATGATAGATTGTTAATAGATAGTCATTGGGTAGATAAGTAGATAAGTTAATAGATAGTCATTGGGTAGATAAGTAGATAGATAATAGGTAGGTAGGTAGGTAGGTAGGTAGGTAGGTAGGTAGGTAGATACATAGATAGATAGAAAGATAGGTAGATCAGTCAATCAGTACCGCACCACACATTCCTTTTTGGTCTGCGTCATCTCTATTTTTCACCTGTTCTTTTTTGCATATTTTTTCTGGCAACGGAAACTGTAACATATTACTCATTTTTATTCTGTGTTTTTTGTCGTAATTTTTCTGTTATTCCCAGGTATATTGTGTGACTACTTTCCTTGAACTAGGAGATATGCAAGGTGTACAGACTATATTTCACACACAGACACTGCACATACCACTCCAGAGAAAATGTAGTGACTCTTGTGTTACTATTTAGACAATAGAGCATGAAGCACTTAGCATAAAGTCGTATATCCTAAGAGTGAAGATCAGGACTTCCTTGCCATGTGAGACATGGAAAGGAATGTGAGCATGGCCTTCTGTCTTCTTTGAAATTGGCATTTTCCTCGGTGATATTTTTTTCAGTACTGTTACCTTCTGGGAGATTATATTGGATGTGAAGGAAGGAGTCTGTATATATTTTTTTAATGTTTATTTATATATTTTGAGAGAGAGTGAGAGAGTGTGTGTGGAGAAGGGAGGGAGGGAGAGAGAGAGAGAGAGAGAGAGGGAGAGAGAGAATCCCAAGCAGTCTCTGAGCTGTTAGCACAGAGCCTGACATGGGGCTCGAACCCACGAATCATGAGATCATGACCTGAGCTGAAACCAAGAGTCAGACACTTGACTGACTGAGCCACCCAGGCGCCCCAGAAGGAGTCTATACTTTGAAGTCAGCCTGGCTTTGGACTACTTACTCATCATTTCTGACTACAGTTTCTGTTCTATAAAATGAGGATATTAGCACCTTTTTCAGAGGCTTTCATAGTGATTACACAAGCCGATCTATATAAACTACTTTGCCCAGAGAATGGCACATAGTAGGTCATTGGGTAATTTATTCATTCTAATACAAATTATATTCTATTACACTTTGTTCCATCATTGAACAATTCTATTCAGTGCCTACTGTGTGCAAACACAGTTCTCAGTAGTGGGGACACAGCAGATAGAAACAAAAAAAAAAATCTCTTCTCATGAAGCTTAAGTTCTGGTTCTTTTTTCTTCGTATCATTTTGGATTTATCCTTCCATCTGTGATTATCGTCTCCAATCTCTTGTTTCTTTTTAAGTTTTAAAATTCTTTGCCAAACAGGTTTTACAGTGATTCATGGACGTCATTATGCCTTGGGGTGTGTAATAAATTCTGGAGGGACATGGAGGAACACGGCTCGCCAGTGGATTTAATACACTCGGTCCTGCACCTCCTCTCACTGCTGAATGTGCTCTTCTCTTCGGCATTGGCCTATTTCAAGACTTCTGTCTCTGGCCCAGAGACACTCAGTGCATCATGTTTGGATCTGTCCGTGCCTGGAACACAGCTAGATACTATGGATATTCACGTTCATAAAATGCTTAGGGACCCCTGAAAGACACAGCATTATTTTCCTTGGTCTTATTTTCCATTCCACATTGCTTTCCTTGTTATGTACTGGGCTCAGGACAAGGAGATCTTGTAAAGATTCTCTCTCCTCTTCAGGTTGATGGAAAAATCCCTCTTTTCACTTTTAAAAATCAGGCCTAATAGATCACATTTGTGTAGTTAATAGGCCACTCTCCAGTTTTCCTGGGAAATCTACGTTTCTCTTGAAACGTCTCAACAGGCTAAGTATTATGTATTAACATTTTAACCTGAAGACCACCTAACCCCGTAATTACTCCCATGAGCTCTTTCTGCAGGTAGCAATGTAAGTACAGTCCCTTTGAGAACGGGAGGATTTCATAGTTGTATTTCTTGAGGGCTTCGTGCCCTTACTGCGCTCTGAAATTTCGTACCATCTGTGTTTTTATTGTTTCATGGAATCTGAGCTACGGAACGTGAGTCATATGCTGGCCGTGTACACAGGCCTGACACAGAGGGTCTCAGTGGACACCACCTGTTGTAGGTACACAGCGATATTGCAGAGCTTTGCGGGCAGAGCCCCGGCGTGTTTTCCTTCACTATTGTTCTCTGTATTTATCTGCACCAACCACCTGGCGCTCTCCAGCTTTCACAAAAAGCCAGGGTGGGCCCCTCATCAGAATGAGTCTCCCTATTCCCTGAGAGAAATGAAGTAATGCCCTCTCACAGATGGTCCGCAGCGTGCACCTCAGTTGAATATCTAATTGTGACAAGTCCTCAAGGATTAGCTGGAAGTTGCTAGAATCAACTTAAATTGTCACACAAACCTATGTTCTAGAAGCACAGAGAAAAAGAAAAGAAAAAAAAGATTATCTCAAGATGACATCGGCAACTATCCTCTATTGAAAATGTGCACTTGGCAATAGGCAATTTGTTTCATTGCAACATGTCTAAACAGCTCAAATGTGTGAATTGCAATTGAAGAATATTCTTGTTCCATTGCAAAAACATTAGTTTGCCTGCCCGTGCTTTCCTTAATGCTAGTGGCGGTGCTCAAGACTTTCCTAAGTGCTTACTCTAAGAACATTTTAACTCCTAGAATGGTTTAATAAAATACATGGGGATTTACAAGGGCTGCTTTTTAAAGCAGACAAACACAAACTTACAGCTAAGACCTCAACAGTGTGGTGTTTGATTTGAAAGTTCAAGGAAGTTTTTGTTTTACTGAATGATCTGTCAGGTATGCCATAATAATTAGAAACATCAACTCTTGGATTTGTGATGTAGGGGAAGAAAATGTTTTCCTGAACCCTCTTTGGGTCCCTGGCTGGGGCTGAGAATTAAACTGGAAAAGACAGATGAACAGGAGAAAAGCGTACACGTGTGTTTAATGTAAGTTGTAGTGACAGGGGATCTTCAGAAGGAAATGAAGATCTAAAGAAACGGACCTGGGTATTTCTATGTGAGGTCTGATGAAGGGTGGATGGTAATGGAAAGATATGATACAGATCTAGGAGTATCGATGCAAGTGTGCCAGATGGGGAGAAACTCAGTCTGTTTGCTAGGATTCTTTTCAGTATCCCTTTGTCTTCAGAGATAAGGATGCTCCTGGAACAGACATGACACCCCTCATATGAAGGTTTTATGACCTGTTTCTTTTTTTTTTTTTTTTTAATTTTTTTTTCAACGTTTATTTATTTTTTTTGGGACAGAGAGAGATAGAGCATGAATGGGGGAGGGGCAGAGAGAGAGGGAGACACAGAATCGGAAACAGGCTCCAGGCTCTGAGCCATCAGCCCAGAGCCTGACGCGGGGCTCGAACTCACGGACCGTGAGATCGTGACCTGGCTGAAGTCGGACGCTTAACCGACTGCACCACCCAGGCGCCCCTTATGACCTGTTTCAAGAGAGAAGAGTCAGGGGAGAATACAGTGACCTTCCTCCCTCTGCCATTTTCTCACACTCCTTCACCCTAACACGGTCAGTATGCCCAGGTGCCATATTTTGGGGTAGTATGTCCTGAGCTCCATTTTGATATCTTCATTATCGTCATATAATTACTTGAGAAGCTTAACCTAACTTTTCTTTTAAAAGACTACCCTACTTACAACCATATTCAACCCAGCCTCAATTAAATTTTTGTGTTGTCTTTTTTTTTTTTGTTTTTGGTTTTTCTGAAAGTGCAACATTTTTTATCGCCAATATCTCTAGCAATATTTTTTCTTGAACTTAATTTACATGCAAATATCTTTTAAATAAGAATTTTCACTCTAATTAGCATTTTGGTAAGCTAACAATAATGAGATATAGAAATTTCACTCTGTAATATTCTTTATATGATTATGATTATAGATGCTTCTGATGGTATGTTGCAAGTCCCAAGTAGGTAAAATGGGATTCAAGATTACATTGGTTCTTGTTTTATGAGTAAGAAGATTGGTCAACTAACCCCAGCGAAAGCCTGCTATCAGTGGTGTGAACATTGTGTTGGGACTAGTGTTAGGTTATATATCTTTTGTTACCACTGCTTAACCTTCTGTTTTCTTTTATCCCTGTCTGTTCCCTAGAATGATCCAATTGCTTGCATGTTTCAGTTCTGTATTAGAGACTTCTCTTGTAATGCTTACATTTTAATTATAGAAAGCAGTTGCTTTTGACTGACCAGAATCCCTCCTTTATGGTTTTGGTAAGAGAACGCTGGTTTTAATTTGGAAAATTACTTCTTACCTCTTCTGAGTCCATTGGTTTCAAAACCTGGCTCTATAGTTTCAGACTTGGGTATATTACCAAGGTCATCCTGTTCCCTAATAACTGTGACTGTTTAATATGCCATAAACATGACTCAAGCTAGGAAAAATTAGAATTAATCTTAAGATTTTTACTGGAAATGCCTAGAAAGAAGTTTTTTTCTTGGGGATAAGGGTGTTGAAAGGAGGGCAGGGAGTTGGCGTGTAAGAGTTTGTAATGATCATCTTTGCACCATTATGGGAAGCCATCCTGGAAACTACGGCATCACAGAGGAGGCCAGAAAAACAGAGGCAAACCTCTAATGACATTGTTTGAGGCTTTGAATATAAGTTCTCTTCCTTTGAATTCCTCTTTGCGTCAATAGCCTCCCTGTATTTTATGAACTATTTTAGCATTGGATGTCTACATGCAAAAAAGGCATGCTTGTTATTCTGTCTTAGAATTCATGGATTTCAACTCAGATGGCCCCCTTCCTTCACCACTTCCATTCTGTCTCAGAAAGAGAACTTCTATTAACAAAGAGATAATAGATACATGAGAATTATGCTCATCAATTTTACCTAACTTTGCATTTTTCTGCCATCTAAACCCAGCATTCAATTCTAAACATCTTAAATTGTTTATGATGTTCACAGTCCTGATAAATAAACACAAAGGATGGATCATTGAATTCAGTAACTTCAAAGACAGAAAATGATCAAGAGTGCCAACATCATCAAATGCTGCTATTAAAACACAGGCCCAGGCAGCAGTCCGTGAATTGCATGGAGACTTCCACATTTACTCTGGGACGGGAGCTCATTTGAATAAGATACTTAGTAGCCACTTTGGCTCTTCTCATTATCCGAAGTGTTAACATGTTAGGTGAGGCACAGGGTGGTATGTGTGTGAGGAGGCTTTCCTTGATGTTATCCACACACAAAGAAAGACAGAGATGCTCATCTCATCTGTTTTAAAACAGTTTTTCAAAAAGCAATGGTACGTAGAACTTCAAAGAACTAGCAAGATAAACTCACAGAAAAATATGGTCAGTTATTTGGTGATTTATAAAGGATATTTTGAGAAAACAGATGAAGGTACCCTTTCCTTGATAGATTGTAGAGTATTGCTTACTGCTTCTCAAACTGTGATCAAAGTTTTCAAAACTTTGTAAGTGGAAGTTTTGTCAGGAAACCTCCTGAAAGTGAACATGGGCAAGTAAACATGGAGCATTCTTTAGTGAATACATGCTGCTCTTAAAGCTAAGTATCTGTTTTCCTAACTCCTGGGCTCGGTGTGAATTCACTGCCTTTCATCGCCCCACACACGTGAGGCTCAGCCACCCTTGCCCCACGTGCCAAAGGAGGAGTATTTCCTTCTGAAGCACGAGCAGAGGAGAAGGTACTTATCCATCCCTGTGAGGTTGGTTTTGCTTGGGAATAGTAGTGAAAGGACCATTCAAGGTTGTAGCTACACAGAGTCACCCATCATTTCAACGGATTCACCCCAAAATAATGTAAGTGTAGGACAGAGGAGACAAACCACACATAAACCTGGTCCCCCCCAGAGTAACCTTTAGGATTTACCAAAAAGTCGGTGGATATATTTTGTGTCACCATGGTGTGTGTTATGGCCCCAACGTGAGTGTGCATCTTAGATAGTATGTTGTCTCTTCATTCATGGAGATAAAACAAAGTGTCCCATCAGGTGACACATGGTGTCCAATTCTGTTCGCAGTCATGGCCTTGATATTTTCTAAATGAAGTCCTGGAGAATGGGCTCATGTATGGTTAAGGAATTTATGCAAGTAACAAAAGCAAGTGTGAAAATGCATATTTTTTATGATTTGTCTATTTTGTGGAAGGCATTGATCTGTATTCTTCTACTTAACCATTTTCAGGAAACTAATCCATATTAATTACTATTAAATGTTTCATTCATGTTTTGCAGATTGTGTTCTGCTCTACTGCTAAACTGACAGAAAAATTTTTAAAACTCAGGTTTTGCAACCTGAAGAAAAATTCAGGTGTTTGTTTGAATTCGTGTTTGAGTGCATTCGAACAGTTCTGGAAATGATTTGCTTTGAATATCACAGATCATGTTCCTCATTGTAAAGAAAATGATGGTAATATCCTTCAAATGCCTCCTTAAATTATCATATGAAGCGATAATTTTTCCCATTTGTCTATAAGGGTGCTGATAAGCAGTAAGACAGGTGGAGAGAGCATGAAGGAAGGAAGTAGGTCAGGGGTACAAGGACGTGTAGAAGCCAGGCACTGTGAGAACCACCTAGGGGCACAGGTCAGAGACAGGACAGTAGAGGAGGTCAGTGGGAGACCAGAAATGAGAGGGGAGAAGAAGCAAGACCCAGAGGAATAAAATCATGTGGAGAAACCGTAGAATCAGGAAAGCCTCTGCTGAAGAGAAGACTTACTGGAATCTAATATTTACCAGATTAAAAAACTAAATAAATACACACTACTTTGCTGGTAAGAAGAGACGACTCAGAACTCAAGCCAAAAGTTCAACGTCTAGGTTTTTGTTTGGATTTCCCTGGGAATAATCTCATTGAGGCCACTCTTCAATATGAATCAACTGAGTATTCTCATGGATCTGGTGCCTACAATTTAAGTGCCTACAATTAAGTATAGTGCCTACAATTTAAGTATAGATGAAAGGCCTACAATAATATATGAAGATACTCAAAATTGAGTGATTTGGCATATATACACACTAAGAAATGTTAATTTGAGAAACAATTACATCTAATGGGCTGTATAGTATATCATTTATAGCTTAAATTTTTTAATTAAGTTCATATCAAAAGCATATTCATGTTTTATTTTTAATATATGTCTTCATCAATATTCTACTCAGCTAGTATGTTAGGGCTCCTTTGTAAGAAAAAGAAAACCAGCTCAAATAAGCTTAAGCAGTAATAAATATAGCATGGAGTTCTTCAGGTATGGCTATATCCAGGGACTCAAACAGACTTCTTTTTGGATGTCTTTGTGTGTGTGTGTGTGTGTGTGTGTGTGTGTGTGTGTGTGTCTGTGCACGCACGTGTGCACACGTGTGTCTGTCTCCAATGATGTTAGACTTTTATTCTTAGGATGTGTCTACTCAGATAGATGTTAACCCTGCTGATGACCCAGTACTTAAACTCGTGACTGTATTTACTAAGGAAAGGAGGCCCTCTCTCCTTCGGCATCTATTACTAAACCTTCAAGGATTCGTCCCATCCATGCGTCCTATTTAGATTTCTTAGTTGTCGTTGGCGGTAGGTGTGATGGTTTGACTACTACAGAGAGGACAAAGGAAGTTGTTCCCAGGGAAAAGTCAATTAAAAAAAAAAAAAGAAGAAGGTTGCTAGGTTGGGGAAAAACAACAGGTGATATGTGCGTCTCAGTTACTGATAGCCTGACATACACATAAGTTTCTAGTAGAAGCAATTTCGGGGGCAGCTGGTTAACTCAGTTAAGTGTACGACTCTTAATTTTGGCTCAGGTCATTATCTCATGGTTAGTGAGATCTCTCTCTCTCTCTCTCTCTCTCTCTCTCTCTCTCTCTCTCACTGAAAGTAAAAAAATAAAGGTTTTTGTTTTTAGATAAAATTTCATATTGCCCCCACCTAATTTAACAGCTATCCCACTTCAACTGAAGTTACCTCTACCCAGAAGGACAGCATCCAAAGTTGTGCTTACACTTCTCATGTATCTCCCGTGTCACCTAGGAGACATTGCCATCATGTTTAGTAAGACTTACAGTAATTCTGTCGAATGTGAGTTGCTTATGAAGGCCAATACTTACCAAAGCATTCTTTGTCTTCCAACAACATAAAAAGAAGTCCAAATACTAAACACATTAAAACACTCCTCCCTCCTATTTATGAATTGTATTTTTTACTAAATTACTTATTAAATTTATTTATTTATTATTTAATTATTATTGGATTTCACAATGCAAGCATGAAAGAATAACTCAGAGACAATTAGTTAAAATGCCCAACATTTCCTTATATGTGCATAAGAAAAGTGTCTATGAAGTCTTTTGCCCCGAAAAGACAAAGTCCAAAAATCTTCTCTCCCAGAAAAGTGACTGGTTTGTTTAAGACATCATCAGTTCATCAAATGGGTTGTCCTCGAGCTCTGATCAAGCCCTTTACTGTTCCACAAAATCCATTAAATTGTGTTGTTTTTTTTTTTAATTTTTTTTTCAACGTTTATTTATTTTTGGGACAGTGAGAGACAGAGCATGAACGGGGGAGGGGCAGAGAGAGGGAGACACAGAATCGGACACAGGCTCCAGGCTCTGAGCCATCAGCCCAGAGCCGGACGCGGGGCTCGAACTCCCGGACCGCGAGATCGTGACCTGGCTGAAGTCGGACGCTCAACCGACTGTGCCACCCAGACGCCCCAAATTGTGTTTTTTTTTAAGGGCCCCTTTGGCCCATTAGGCTTAGGTTTTTAGTTGCTTTTTTTTTTCTTTTGTTTCCTTTTCC